ACAAGTCCAGCCACACAGAACCCACAAAAACACAAAGCCTTCCCTGGCACAGGACATTTCGCAGATCAACCACTTGTATGAAGCGGGTGATCTTAAACAAGTCCAGCCACACAGAACCCACAAAGGCACAAAGCCTTCCCTGGCATGCATGCTCCTGCTGTGTGGCAGGGCTTCTCAAAGATCAACCACTTCAAAGAAGTTGGTGATCTTGGACAAGTTCTGCCGCACAGCACGCGCAGAGCCTTCCCTGGCACGCATGCTCCTCTCTGAATCATGCTGTGTGGCAGGACATTTCGCAGATCAACCATTTCAATGAAGCGGGTGATCTTGGACAAGTTCTGCCACACAGCACTCAATGCCTTTCCTGGCACGCATGCTCCTCTCTGAATCATGCTGTGTGGCAGGACATGTCGCAGATCAACCATTTCAATGAAGCGGGTGATCTTGGACTAGTCCTGCCACACAGCGCTCCCTGGCATGCATGTTCCTCCTGGTAGGCAATAACAAAGCCGTGTAGTGACGTGACCACAGCGCAGTGGATCTGGGCGCTGTCAAAGTCAATGAGCACCATGCGCCACCCCCGTCTGCTGCACAGGTTGCGAGCAGACACGTCGCAGTGCGCCACAAAAAAGCCGTGTATGTGATCCAGTGCGCTCAGCCTAACTCACGGCCACTCCCGCCGGGAATCTCAGCATGCTCAGAAGTGAAGCATCTCCATCACACTTGCACGATGTTTGAATGCCCGCCCACAACTTTCAGAACTTCGAACTCCTTCAAAAGCTCCTGATTCCTGTAAGGTCATCTTGGGCCATATCGACGGCCGCAAGGTTGCAAGGAAAGTTGCGGCAAGGGCGTGTTTACCAAATTGTGAAAGATGATGCTACTTCTCCGACTCTGCCCCGCTCAGACTCTGCCGAGAGCTTTCGAAACGACATGTTGTCAAGCAAGCGAAGACATTCAAAGGACGTCAAATTGCTGCAGCTGTCCAAGGAAACACCACAGCAAGACAGTTCGAGTGTCACACTGCCTCAAAGTTCTATCACCAATCAAAGTCTTGAGAGCGCCCTGCCTGCAGCGGCCTATCCTCGTATCACGCCTGGGCGGAAACTGGAATGGTTGCGCTGGGATTCGGCTGCGGAGCGCCAACTGGGAAACCCTGGCGTCGGCAGTTTCGGCAAACAGCAGCCAGGCCTCTGCGCTGGTCAGAACATCTTGGAGCTCTGTCGCCGCTCTGGCGGCGTGGGGGCGGAGGTCTTGGTCTTGCTCTCGCAGATTCTCTATCCAGTCGCTGATGCGTGGGTTCCGCTTGTGAGGCTCCACGAGGTCCTCCACCTTCTTGATGACGCAGGCCGCCGCAAAGACATCCTGCTTGGGAAGCAAAGTAGTATCTCACGAAGCTGACCCAAACCAACTAGCCCCCACCCCTGCCGCACAGCACGCACACAGCCTTCCCTCGCATGCATGAGAAGTCCTACCACACAGCACTCAGCACGCACAAAGCCTTCCCCTGGCATTCATGTTTCTGCTATGCAATGATGAGAGGTCCTGGCATCGGAAATGCTCCAAGTTGACCTGGCCCTCAGACAGTTCGTCTAAGCTGCGGTGGATCTGGGCGCTGTCACAGTCAATGAGCACCATGTGCCACCCCCGTCTGCTGCACAGGTTGCGAGCAGACACGTCGCAGTGGGCAACAAAAAAGCCGTGTATGTGATCCAGTGCCCTCAGCAAACTCCTGGCTACATCTCTGATGGCAAACGGCGCCACTCCCGGGATTCTCAGCATGTTCAGAAGTGAAGGCCCCAGCATCTCCATCACTATCGCATGTCTTAATGCTTTCGCCTCAAACTCGATCACTTGCACGATGTTTGGATGCCCGCCCACGAGTTTGAGAATTTTGAACTCCTTCCAGAGCTCATCATTCCTTTTCGCATCGTGCGCGACCTTCCTTGCGACCTTTCGACCGTCGACATGGCCCATGATGAGCTGGGCAAGTGCTCCCTGGCCAACTATGTCCGCCTGCGCCGCCGACCGGGCCGTCAGCAGCGTGGGCCGGGCGGCGCAGGCGCAGGCGCAGGTGCTGCCACGAGCTGACAGCCAGGCAGACAGGTCCCGTGCATCTTCCAGCGCCGGCCGAACGTGAAGCCCGCCCCGAACGGGATGGTGTATGCTCCAGGGCCAGGGCCGCTGGGCTGCGGCCGGCGCCACCTTGCTGCCTTTGAGAACATGGCGGCAAGGGCCTTTCTTACCAAATTGTGAGAGATGATGCTACCTTCCTGCTGGTAGTGATGTATTGGGACCCACTCTGATGGCTGTCAGCCAAACGGCATCGTTGCATTGGGAAACGTCCAATCATCACCCCAGCATCTGATTGCCACGAGATATCGCAGTCGGACAACGAGTTGCGCACCTTTTGCGCAAACCTGCAGAAGCCAGCCCCTGCAATCAGCTCACAACAGAATTGACTGCATGGTTGCCAAGGCTTTAGCTTTCCGAGAAACCTGTACTGACTGTGATACTGCTGGGCAAGTGGCAGACATTCAAAGGATGTGCAGTTGCTTGAGCTGTCCAACAAAACTCGTGCCCGGCAAGTTCACTCCTGGCTTTCACCATGGCTGTGGCCTACTTACCAAGTGGGGTGACCATCCCGTTGACTAACCACGGGTTGCTTCTAAAAATGGTCGTCCAGGAACGAAAAGTCCTACAAGTTAGTGAGTCGGAGGTTGGACCTAGTGGGGAAAAGTTGACCTGGATTGACTTGGAAGGAGCTCGATATTCTAGCCAGCATGCCGCCAGGAAAGTGCATTGAACGCGGCTCATGGAAGTAGACTTTCAAGGGGCTCTAAGAAAAGATGCGAGTGCAAATCCGCTTCCAATATGACGCTCTCTGCGTCACAACTCTGACGGTCCTGCATGACACTCGTCCAGAATAGAGCAGTTGCAAATCCTGATCCTGTCACATGCTGTTGGCAAAATTTTACGCCACCAACCATGATCAATTTCTGAGCTCCCCTGCTTCTGCGCCTTTCTCTGAGCCTGAGCACGCAGGCTTCAAATGGGGAGCCGTACGTCGGAGCGTGTAATTATGCGGGACTGTGTCAAAGTTGGCCTCGCAGAAGGTTCTCTTTTTCGCAACGCATTGGCTGTCGAAAGCGGCTGATGAAGTATTGATTTGTTGATCTATCAACAATTGCTGAAAAAGCACCTTTTGTGCCAATGCAAAGCTGCTGCTAGTCTGCAGGGACGTACCGGCTACCGCGAAAGATCACATTACTGTCACCACATGTTTTTCCTGTGCTTACCCCGCGCGTTTTGAGCGGCTATTGCTCAGAACAACAGGAAGCAACCAGTTGTCTAGCAAGAAGATGCTCGTCCAGCAGAAAAACAGCCGCCGTCCAACGAGGAAACAGGCTGTCCAGCAAGAAAAAGCCTTGTTCCAGCAGCTGGGCGCGGCCTGGAACACTCCCAGCATCAATTGTCTCCCTAGGCACTCGTTTCGTGCTCTAGGCGGGGCTGCCTGGAAACTGCCTGGAACACGAAAGGAGCGCAGGCCACACCCCCAGCATCCCCTGGGTCCCTCGGCATGTTTTATGGCCTGTGCAGCTTCCGGCAGTCTTCCCGCAGTCTTCCCGTAATCTTCCCGCAGTCTTCCCGTGGTCTTCTGGCAGTCCTCTCGCAGGTTTCTTTGTCTTGCGTTAGCGAGTTCAGGGGCGTGTTGTGCAGCCGGGAAACTCATCTGGACCCCGGCAGTCATCCCGTAGTCTTCCTGCAATTTGCGGACTTCTTTGTTTTGTGCCCCCTCCCCCCGTCTAATGAACGCGTGCGATACCACTACGCCAAACTGGCTCTGAGCTTTCCTGGGCGGCTGTCCTTTTCTGGACGGTTTCCTTTGCTGGACGGCATTTCCTTTGCTGGGAATACTGGTGATGCTGGGGAGCCCCTTTCGGGTTCCAGGCAGTCGCCGGGCGCATCTGCCTAACGCACACAACGAGCAAAGGCGGTAAAACAGCAAAATGGTAAAACGAGAAAACACAGTATGTGTTTCTTTCCTTTATCTGTCTATTCCTCTACTTATCTCGCCACTCCTCCAGCCGGATCTTGTTTACGTTTATTAGCTGTGGGTGGGAAGAAGGAGAGATGGTGCACGGAAAAAAATGAGGAGCGAGGGGGGCGGACAGGGAGAAAGAGACGACAGACGCTGTCCTCCGTCCCTTTCCTGTTAACCTTCTCTTTCTCATTCCTCTCTCCAACTCACTTCCGGAGAGTCGTTATGAGTGAACGAATACCAGAGAAATGGGCCCGAGAGAGAGAGAGAGAGAGAGAGGAGCCAGCCATCTCTTTCCTCCCCTTTCCCTTTCCGACTCAGACGCGGAAAAGAAAGGGATAGAGACGCGTCTCTCGAAGGGGGGAGTCATGATGGCATGTGAGATAAGAGAAAGATAATGAAATGAATTGCAAAAGGATGGACATACTTGAGTGGGCACATTCCCTTCGCTCATATCTTGTCTGGGCTAACGGGTGGACTCACCTAATCAAGCCTCTATCTTATTCCTTTCTTATGTCCCAGCCATAGGAAAGCGACTGGGCAAGCTGGGACAAAAGAAAGAGAGAAAAGAGAGAAAGAGAGGAGAATGAAAGAAAAGGTCTTTCCAAGCGTTCCCAGTGACCCGATCCGTTCACATGGTCGTGACCCTTGATCCAGTAAAACGGTAAAACGGTTCAGTTTTACGGTTTTACCGCTGTGTAAAACGGTAAAACAGTAAAACGGGTAAATGGCTTTACCGTTTTACCAAAAACATGAAAAGCGGTAAGTTACTGTTAATGTGACTAGATTGTTTGAAGGAACACTACTGCATAAGTGTTTTGCTACTAATATAAGTTCGCTGTTACTACCCGTGTTTTCATTGTAACTCAAACTGTTTCGCGTCAGCCCCCTATTCTCGTCAGGCTTTGGGCTAGGCGACCTTATTCGCCGTCAGCACACAGCCTCATAAGTGCGAGTGCTACAGGCCCTCTTCGCTGCATGTCTCCAAGGCCTCGGAGTTGGTCGCGAGCTGCAGCAAAGAACTCATATCCAGGCGGGGCTCCAAAAAGCCTTTGGCCCTGGCTTTGGGATGTTCTTGAAGCTCAGGCTGGTCAGGCTGCAAGAGGCGCCAGCGGCGGCCACGCCAGCTATGCCGGCGAAGGTCCGGGCGCTTGGGCGCCACAGCCGCCGGCGCAACTGCAGTCGGCACACTGGTTGCATCCACCACTGCAGTCGGCTCACTGCTTGCGTCCGGCCCACAGCCACTGCCACAAAGAACATTCATGGCCTGCTTGATTACCTCGTTGTCAAAGTAAATCATGGGACAGCTAAAAAGCCCATCTTGATGCGCTGTGATCGTGTCAGGACTGTAGCACATGCCGTACTTGAAGCTTCCCGCTGTGTCATCATTCGAAGGCCGCGTGTTCTGCTCCTGAGTGAGTAAAAGGGGACACTAGTATAAGGGCCAGAATCGAGTTGGTCCGTACCCCTTTTACACGCCCAAGTAGTTACACTCCCATAGCTTCAAAAACATTCAGCGTTCAAGAGGAAGGCTGTTGCTCATAGCGACCCCCCCAAAAAGGGATACATACTCACTCACCAAAAACTGTCTTGGATGCACACTAGGCTGAACAGAACTTGATACCTCTGCTGGAGCTGCCAAACAGCTCAACAAAATCAACCTGGACTCTCAAACTCCCCTGAAAATGTTGCCGTTGCCCAAAAATTATGAAGTGAGCTCTCATGTTTAACGGTAGTTTGAGGGTCCAGGAAGCCATTCAGCGAAAGGTGCGGTAAGTCTCAGGATGCACTTCCCATCTTCAACCTTGAACACTGCTTGCTTGTTCTGGTTGGAGGAATCCGCCTCAGGCACGTTTTGAAAGTTGATGCCCGCCGTATCTTCTGGGTTGTACTTGAGGTACATCAAGCGAGCAGGCTGATCAGGCACTTGTGCATTCTGGTCTGCAAACTTGAAGCTTGTGCTGTCGCAGGCTTGTTCTGGGACGCCTTCGATCTCAAACTCAACCCAGTCACCTTTGTCTGCGTGGAAGAGGGCCAGAAAACCAAGCTTCGCAATGTCAGAATAGGCTTTCTTGTTGAATGCTCCGTTGAAGGGTTGGCTGTACTGGATGATGTATCTTTCCCCGACGTAGACCGGGATGGACAGCTGCTTTCCTGCGTTCTGGAAGGCCCCACTAAAAGTGGAGCTCTTCCCGGTTTGGCTTGTGACTTTGATTAAGTAGTCCATACCCGGGTCAGCGCTGTGGCCGTCCACAAAGAATGTGCGGATCTGGGCCCCAATCATCTTCTTGCCGTGGCAAAGGGCTAGCCCGCCCTTATTCCGGAAGACCACCGTGTTGCTTTCGGGCCGGAAGTCTGCGCAAGTGATGCCGCTGATGCTCGTGTAGAAGCCGTTGTCTCTTGCCTGGGCCAGACTAAGCAAGGAGTGTGTGCTGATTGAACATGAGCATGGCGCACTGCGTCAGGGTCACTATTTCGTTACGTTGTCCGCCATTCAGCCATTCAGTCGCTGATTATCCGCCATTCAGCCATGCACCCATTCAGGCGCTGCAAATTCCGCCATTCCGCCATTTGTTCGCGGATTATCCGCCATTCAGCCGTTTGGTCGCCGATGTCCGCCGTTCAACCATTCTTCCATATAGCGGCTTTTTGCGCAATTCTGCCACTCAGCCATTTGGAGGCTGAATCCGGCAATCAGCATTCTGCCCGCTAAAAGGAAGGTGAAGGTGGCCCTCAAGGCCCAAACCCGATTCACGCGAGCCCCATGGCTCAGCACACTTTTCTGCGCGCCGTACGGCTCAATGCTCAAGCCCCGCCCTGCGAACATATGCTGATGTGATTCATGTTTGGGATGTTTGGGGAATTCTCTCATGGCCCATATTCCTCAGCTTATGTCACATCAGGGCTGGCTCATCGTCATCCTTCTCAGAGATTTCTGGCTGTAGGGCGAGTGCGTCTTGCACTGCCTTCAAAGCCTTTGCACGCACCTTCCTAAAGGACTCAAAGGAAGGACCGAGCATGACATGCCACGTTTGGCCTGCCGCAAAGAAAACCAGCCAGGTCTTCCTGGCATTCAACTTCGTTAGACTGTCCGCCAGTGGCCGCATCGAAGACTCCGCGGCTGTCCATGACGCGGATGGTTTTCGCGTTCTCCCGGACGGAGTCTTCCCAGCTGTATCATTCAAAGCGATGTCCACGCAGCTCCAGCCATAGGGCACTGACCAGAAAGTTGTAGTCCTCGCCAATGGTAATTGCTTGCACGGATCAATTCGATCCCAGAGATGCCCGGGATGCCTTCTGTGACTTCCACAGAACCACCGAGACCTTCTCCCTGGTTCCCTGCTCGATGTCACACGGCGCGAGGCCTCCCACGACGCCGATCGTAGACCCGCCATCACGTCGACTCCCTTGCGTGCAGAGCATCTGCCCAAATCACCGTGCGCCCGTAGGACTTGTTGGTGGTCAGACATGGCCACCCGCATGATCTTGTTGATCTCCAGGAGCAAACTGACGGCGCCGTTGTTCACTTCCGCCGCGTAATTGGTGTAGCCTTCCTGGTGCACCAAGACGTCTTTGTTGGCCTGCTGGCGCGCTTCCAGGCCCGCCGGTCTCCCATTTCCCGAAGTTGCCATCCCTAAACCAAATCCTTGGCGCGTGGGCAAGTCCATAGAAGGCCTTTCGGAACTTCACCACAAACTCCATGTTGTTGGGGTCACCTCCAAACATAGCCACGCCGTCACATCTCCGACCTTCACCGTGAAGCCAAGGTTCGCCATCGCTGTGAGCCTCTTCTCGCAACCAGCTTAGCCATGGTGTGGAACAAGTGGCGCCCGGAGTGTGAATCATCTGCGCCTTGATCTTCGCCAGCTTCTGCCCAACGGATCTGGCGAATACCGAACTCTCTCCAACGCCATGATGTTCCACAGGAGATCTGCCTCCTTGTTCATCATCCAGCTCTCAACGTCTTCCTCGATCTTTTCAGCAGACACGTTCTCCAAATTCTGGGAGACACGTTTCGCCACCCAATGCCTGAGCTGCTTCAACGGCGCCAAAGGCCTTGATACAGCTCCCAGCACGTCGTCAGAATTCTCCATGGCTTCTTGATCAGGATGCCGTTGAACTGTAGTCCGTAGCAGCACCCATCAAGATGGCAGTCGTACAGCTTGACGCCCATCACCTTGGCCTTATATGTCTCAGCCTGCGGATTGCCCGACTGTTCCATCCTTTGCGCGCCGTGGGGCCATCCCCAAGCTCATTTTGATGGCCTCTACCATGATGTCAGCCATCGATTTAAACATCCGCAAGCCCCTCCGAAGGCGCTCCACAAACCACACTGCGGTATGAGGCTGCTTGTGGTTGAGGACCTTATAGATGCCGTTCGCAATGTCGAATGCTTCACCGGTCTCGGCTTCTCGCAAGGGATGTCCTGTCGGTCATCGCCCTTCTCCGGAAAACTCAGCATTGAGTTCCCCCACACCCTGATCCGGGCCCGCTCCGCGTCCTGCGGATCCATTCCAGTCTACTCCTTCTCCTTGAACTCCTCCGCGCTCTTTGAATGTCTTCCGCCGTCGTGCCCTTTGCATCCTCCTTGGTGATCTTGTACGCAATGGCCAACGCCTCCTTCTGAAGCTCCAGCTCGCGTGTGGTCGATCTGCATCGCGAGGGATTCCGCGGTCTGGGTCTCCACGAGCGTCTTGGCCTGTTCCACCATCCCCCAGACGAGCATCGGGATCGACCCGCGCGCGGATGCTGGCGAACCGCTCGGAGGTGTAGTCGATGCTGTTGGCTCTGGGGTGTAGAGTCGAAGTTCTTCCCTTGCTCTTGCCCTTGGCCTTCGCAGTTGACTTTGGTGCGCCCCACATAGGCCTGCATCGTCATGCGACCCGTGATCTCTACCAGTGAGCCCGTGAGGGCCAGCAAGTCGGCCAGCTGGTCCGTCACGGAGACCGACTCTCCCTCGAAGGCAGTGGCCCTGATCTGCATGCTGTGCAGGTCCAGCGTGCCCGCTGATTGCTGCACCAGCCCGGGATCGACCCGCCAAAGGCGCCAAAGTGCAGCTTTGCGACTCCGCCCGGGGGCACCGAGAAGTCGCCGAGGAAGGTGCCGGTGACGCCCACGTAGTCGTTGTCGGCCGCGCTGACGTACATCACCAAGTTAGAGGCCGTGCCCAGCCGGTACCGGCAGCCGAAGGAGTAGCGTCTCCCCGGCGTCAGGGTGTAGGTGCGCACGATGTTCCAGGCGAAGGCGCTCAAGGTCATGGCGTAGCCTTCCAGCTCGAAGCCTCCCACCGCACTTTGCCCTTCACCATCTTCTCGTTGAGCTCGTCCACGTGGAACTCCATCCGAAGTTCTGCCAGCGCCCGACCACCAGTGAAGGGTCCGGTTCTGTCCGGCAGGCTCCGTGACCCTTGCCGTGCGCCTTGTCTCCAGACTGATTCCCGTTGGGTTCCCTTGACACGCTTGCCCACGCATGGCCAACCTTCTTGGCATGGACCTCGCGCTAGGGCGCCGCTCGTCGCAGCTGCCCGGTTCCGTTGAGCAACTGGAGTTTTGGAGGTTCGTGATGCGCTCCTTGAGCCTCATCAGCTGCCGGGGCACATCGTGAACATGCTGACCATCTGAGAACCCTCCATGTGATCGCAATTCACATCCGTGATCATGCCAATGAAACGGATGGCGCTTCCTTCACCTTCAACTGTGTCATCAGCCTCCAAGCCCAGAGGCGGCGCCCTCCCACCAGACTCCACGCACATCAATGCCCTGGAACTTCCTGCTCTCCTCGCCGACGTCAAGTAGCAAATTTGAAAAGGCGGTTTCAACACTTGCGTTCTCCACCTCATCGATTCCCTTGACTGCCTTTACGCTGTCAACAAGGGCCGCTCAAGCTCCAAGAGACTTTGCAGAACAATGTCGGCTGACCTCCGATCTCCTTTTGTTTGGGTTAATGCCTCTCCGCGTACGTGGACACAGGGCATACCTTGCGGCCCGGATCGCAGGTGGAGGGTCGCACAAAGGAGGCGAGGATCACCCGCCGACGAACAATGGGACGTTTAAGCGACTTAGTAGTTCGGCCGAGCACCGGTGAGCGATTCACTCAGTCAGACGAGTCTCCGCACAGAACGGATCTCTGCCGTGGAAGCCAGACTCTCGTGCTCCTGTGCGGGGATTTCCGATCTGCTGGCAAGATCGAAAACCGCACCATTCATCATCATCTGGGGGCTTTTCATCCGCTGGCAGGCAATGTCACAAGCCTGCAGGACATTTGTTTGAAAATCCAATCCAGCAAGGTTTGCAGGAACTGCTTTGCCTGTCAAGCAACCTTTGGGCCCCCTTGCTTGAGCGCGCGCAAGGTTAGGAGGCCAGGCGCTTGCTTTGCGACGATCCGTTGCGGCAGAGAGTCTGCTCTCGGACGCTCTGGGAAGCTGACGAGATGTCCTGGCTGCTAGCTCCTTCTTCTTGTTCGTCCGCAACTTCTTTTTTTTGTTTGCGGGCGTTGGGGTCGAGGATGGCGCCAACAAGCTTCCACTTGCTCCCTGTTACCAACTCTTGCCACCGCTGTTTTGGCGACCTCCTCTCTTGGACCTGCAGGAGGGCTGACAGCGGGGGCTTGCGCCGGGAAACCATGGCCACGGACGCGCTCTTCAGCTCCCAGAGGAACTGAGCTACGTGGCATGAAATAGATCGGGGTTCGCTTCCTGAGCTGCGGCACTCATCGGCAGAGGGGGATGAAGACCGCGCGCTGCTCTCCTCGCCTCCGCTTCTCTCGCGCTGAGTTTCCCAGAAGTGGGGACGAGCATCGTGTCAGGAGAACCTTCAGAAACCCGCCCTCCTTGTCCACGACCCTCTCTTCCACTTCCCCGATTTCCGTGCGTCCGGCAGGCCCTGGCAAATCACACCAGCCCTCGGGCTCAGCTCTCCCCGCTCTCCCCGCTCTCCTCCTCGGAGGGCTCGGCGGGGCGGTCGCGTCAGCATCGGGCTCCTCGCGCTCAGGGCAGAGGGCCGCCGCGACGCCAGTTCCTGCCGCACTAGCCCTCTCAGCCCTGTTTACTCTTCTGTTCTTTTTCTTCTCTCTCGTACCCTTTCCCTTTTCCTTGGCAGGAGGGACTGTCACCGGAGGAACAAGTACAGGAGGAAGGCCCGCCCGCGCGGGACTCACCTGTCTGCCTTGTCAGCCCAGGTAAGCGGGGAAGCAACGCCAGCTCCTTCTGATGGCGTGGCCGGATTCGACTGGCAGAAGGAGACCTCCCACTCTCCGCCGCAAAGCGGGCCTCCAGGAAGAGACAGAAGCCCTGCCCAAACCTGTTGGCTCACCAAAAGCAGGCCCCGTAACACCTCCTGTTACAAGGCGTGAGTTGGCTTGGAGGCCCAAGAGCCGCACGTAGTCTCCGTCTACGTGAGACTCCTGAGCCAACCTCAAGAAGGAGGCCGTCAGAGGCGACCACCTACTACACCAAGTGCAAGGTGCAAGCCGAAAAAGTTACGCAACACAATCCTAAACCATGAGTACATGAAACAGGGTTCGGGCGGACTTGTCATTTTGGCAGGCATGCAGCAGCGCAGCTGTGGTACGCGTGCTCGTGACTATGATTATGTTGACACGCATGGGCGCCTGGGGCGCGGCCTGAATGGCTGTGTTGAATTGCTGCGCCGCTTTACGAGAGCCGCGCCGCGTTACGAACGCAAATGGGGGAAAGGAAGGAAAGCCAAAACAAAGGCAGAGAGTCGAAAAGGTTCGCTAAGTCTAGCAATGTTGCAAGGATTGGCTGCGCCGTCGGGGTGTACGTGTTGCTGCCAATGGCGAGAACCATGTTTCTGCGGTTGTCATCCAGAACAAGGTTCCTGGGCCAAACAACAGGACCCCGTGCAAAAAGCGAACACGGTTTGCTGCTGAAAAGAGAAACCAAAAGAAACCCAAGGGCGAAAAAGTTAGTTGAGTCCGGCAATGGTTCGATTCCTTTTCCTTCTCTGACTGGTCCTCTGCCAGCGGAAATACCTTCCTTGGGTACACCATGCACAGCATGTCTTCCACGGTGGGCCTTTTCACTTTATCCGAATCCGGCGGAGTCTGGCTGGCCAGGTCCCCAGGCAGGTCTGCCCAGCCAGTCGCTGGCGTCATCAAGAAGATCGTTGGCGCCCTGCGGGGGGCGGCGAAGCAGTACCTCTCGTCATCAAAGTTCCAGTACGTCGACTGATCTTGTGGCCTGTTCCCAGTTCCCAAGAAGACGTCAGGACCATCGTAAAGAACAAAACTCACGTGGAGTGGTGGGTACCAATTGTTGTACTCGTAGGTGTCTTCTGTGGCATGCCGGGCATTGGACATCACCCGTGTACCTCCTGGGGTGCGAGTTGTATCAATGTCCTGGGATTTGCACTGGGTCGCATCCTTGCACGTTGCATCAGTGCAGGTTTCGCACTCTAGAAGGCTCGTGTCATCCACATTGCCTCAGCAGCTTGGACTTGCAACTCCCGAAAAGGGAAATCCCTGAAAGGGATTTTGCGCGCGTAGCCCTCCAATTAGCTGGGAAACAGCCTTTCTGGCATAGAAAAGCCCAACCCGCGCCTTTGTTTGCAGAATACCCGATGAATGTCATTCTCCGGTAGACCCCGCGGCCCTCCGGCTGGGTACCACCCTGTAGGGTCTCGATGCCGTTCCGCGTGTCAGACCAGGTCCTGACGTCTAAGCGTGTGGAGCATATCATGTCCGAAACCAACAGTAGACCTACGGTTGTGTCAGTTGCTCAAACGCTGGCTACCAAGAAGGAAAATAGTCAGGCGCCCATGGAGCAGGATGCGTCTGCGGCTCCACCATGCCGGGGCTACGCAAGAGGCACAGTGAGCGCGCTTCTCACTTCGTTGAAATACCAAGTCAAAGCCAAGAAGACATCCGACTCCGAGAAGGATGATGCCAGCAAGGTGCTTCAGGACCGTCCCGTGCATGTTTGAGTTTGCTGTGTGTTTCTTGGCCACTTACTTCACTGACAGTTTAATCTCCTTGGTAGGAGGCGGGCACCATTGAGGAGAAGAAATTGATATTGGACAAACTCCAAGAATTCGGAGTGAAGAATTGCAGTTCGGTCCACAGCCTCGAGTGCATGACATTTAACATTAAGGATGAGTCATTGGTCACCAATTTCTTCACCAGGCTTTTGGGCTTAATAGTGGCACTAGTCTTTCTCTGCAGTTTCATGGCTTGCTGGCAGCATTCTGGAATTGCGCCAATGCAGCTGAGGCAAGGGATTTTTGCCATCGAGTCCATTGACACGACCGGCCTGTCAGAAAATGTTAAGGATGAGATCTTGGAAGAAATCCTGTCCAAATCTGAGAAGAGGTAGAGGTTTGCACAAATACCTCTTTGTCTACACCAAGAAATGTCAATCTGACTTCCTGTCAAGCTTACTGAGTAACATGTCGGGTTCTCAGAATTAGGGAATGGTTTCCCTCCAAGCCACTACTAGGAGGGTGGCCCTGAGGGCAGCCCTCAGGATGTCACCTTAATTGTCCCAGGCTTTGGCTTGATATAGCTGCACATGATCAAAGTAAAAGCGACATAAAGGGCCGAGAATCCCTCCAATGAAGGTGACCCGCGCGGCTCGGACCCAGAAGCCTACCTCCTGAGACTTGAAGACTGTCAAATCCTCAACAGAAAAGGCCTTCAGCACATCGATCCTTGGCCAAACGTAAGAAAAGGATGGCCAAGAAGAAGATTCGAGGTGGGATCACTTGCACAAGCCTTGTGATCCTTGTGCCAAGGATCTTTTCGCCCGTCCCTCCCCACCGGCACCGAGATCTCTCTTCTGAAGACGTTATCTGGGGTGTCACCGTGGGTGGTGACCGGAATGTTGGGTTGAAGTTCTTAGCACCGTCGTTGAAAAAGCCCACGCGGATGGAGTGCATCCTCGTCAACATGAGCACCTCTATATAACTCTCCAAGAATACAAAAGGACCAAAGGACACTTCACAAAAGCCAACTTTTGCAGCCCAAGCATCGTGTTGCCCTCGAAGCCTTGGAACTGCTGATGGAAGCCGAGGGTTGCCGCAAACGCGGGAAAGGTAGGCAACCCCTGCCACATATCACGGGGCGTATTGATCGCCCCGACGAAATTACATGGTGCAGTCCAAAAGCCCACCCCGAAGGATGAGCCCACCCAGTTGTCCTGGATGGTGTTCTTCAGGCTTTTGATCCAAAAGCTGGCAACCCAGGATTGGCTGAGGGGTGAGCCACCACCTGCACAGGCAGGAATCGGGGGGAAAGGGGTAGAAAGGGAAACTTGACAGGTGGATGACATATCACTCGTGCTCGGATTGCACGTGTCCAACTGCAGAATCGTGCGTCAACCTATGTGACAAGTTTACCACCTGAGCCGTTTCAGAATATCGGTTCCCCATGAGAAAATCGGCAAGTGGCACATTTAGAGCTGAACCCCAAATGGACCAAAGGGACAATTTAATTTGACTCCTTCATCGCGGCCTTCACCCGGCACCGTCAGCATATCTGATGTCTCCACTCCATGGTGGAACTGCTCGCGGACCGACTTCACCCCCAGCACGAGGTTCTTGCTGATTACATTGTTCTCTTCCCAAATGCCATCCTCAATGTAGACGCAGTGGCCACTAATGTTGTACATTACATTGTTTCTGACTTTGGTACCGCTCGTCTGGTGAATAGATAAGCAGCGGAAGATGGAATCGTGAATCGAATTTCCGTCGAATATCGCACGCTCGACACCGGTGGAGAGATCCCCAGTCATGTGCCAGTGCCATGGGTAGTTGCCCAAATGTTTCCTGCCCATGTTCCTGAACTCCACGCCACTCACCACGGTGCTGTCGAATCCGGGAAAAGCAACGCTGTGAGCACCCGTCTCTGTCTTTCCCACAATTTTGATGTTGTGCGTGAGAAGCCCCACAGGAGCACGCTCAACATCAATTGTGTCAGACAGCTCGGAGCCGTGGTGATACCATTGGACTGTCGATGACTGAACCTCCGCATGAATCTCACATGGCACAGGGAACCAAACGGCACGGTTTCTATGTCCAAGGTGCAACATGGTGCAACTGAATACCCGGCCTGAAGCTCCTTGGAGTTGGATGGATTCACCTTCACAAGCAAGGTCTCCGTGTACTTTGGGTCGAAGTCTGTGGAGCCCAGAACCACCTGACAAAATAACGGGCCCTCAATATCGCAGTCGCGATCGCACGAATCGTACGCCTTGCCTCCACAGCCTCTGTGCCCCAATCCGCCAAGTCCTCGTTGACCGTCAACGTAGCGCTGCCCTTGGCGGCAGGTGCCGCTAGCGTGGTCCACGTGCGCTCCTGGTCCTTGCCCTTGAGCAAGAGTTGGCCGTCCTTCGCCACTGCCAACGTGGCAGGGTTATCCTGCGTGACATCCCACCGCCCGCTGTGGAAGTGATCTTGTTGACACTCGTCAGGAAGCGGGTCTGATGGCAGAGGCAGCTCATCATTGAGCAATATCTCCAGGTTCCCTGCAAAGGGGAGCACGCCTGCTGCGCCACGCTGCCAGCTCGCCGCAATGAGCGCGCCCCTGACTATAATGCAGCGCGACTCAATCTTGGTGACGCTCTTGTCAATCAGCCACGTTTCTGAGTGTGGAATCACAAGCAGCGTGGTTGGCGGCAAAAAGTCCTCTTGGAACTTGCGTTTGATTTTCCATTGTCCGCTGGGCAAGGGCGGGGAGGGGGGCTGAGGAGGAAGGCTGAGACCTTCCTCCTTTGGCGGGTCGTGAGGGCAGTCCTGCCCTGTGATTTGGTTCCCTTTGCAGTAGTAGTCCTGCAGAGTCTGCAGGGAGCAAATCGGAACTATCAACGCCAAGAGCACCCAGCACACAATTGGTGCTCTGGCCATGCGTCTCAGTGCCTGCTGCCGCAAAAAACCGAGCTTGACACAAAAGGCAGTTGACAGGTAGCAGGTACGTTCCTCATACATGGCATGCTCACACCGCTGATGCAGCAGAACTGACCGGTTGGGCCTCCCCCCACTGGCTTCAACCCGGGTCTGTTGTGAGGTGGTTACATGTTTGCTCAAAACAACAGCGCACAATTGGGTCGGTTCAATCCATGGCAATTTGCTTCTCTGACCAACTCTGTCGTACACTTAACGCCGGTGACAGGGATTTGGGATACGGTGCAGGGCAACCCTCAGTTTTTGTTTCATCTGAGCTGTCAGCCGTCAGCCGTGAGCCCGTCAACTACAGGCCGTTGCCAGGGTCAGCAAAACCTTAGCTGACATCGGTCAATGTTGCACTCAGCAACTCCACTAGCCTACTTACTAGACAACATGATCCATGATCCTATCACAGAGCTGAGCATTCCCGGTGTCAACAAACGCAAACTTATGTTCACGCCTTCTTCACTGAAAGCAGCACCCTTGTGCAGCCAGTCACGAGCCTTGGGGTTGCACGCAATCTCTGCAATGACCTTCGCCGCGCATAGTCGATCTCTACCAGGCGAGCCTGCAGAACCGAGGCAGAATGCATCGAACACTCATACAGCAATACTGTAGGAAGAAGTACTTTGGTGAAACGCACGATTCTGACCCAGCCCCACTAGCCCCGCTGACCCCCTGCCGCCCTGCACGCACACAGCCCTTCCCTGGCAGCATGCTCCTCTTTGAAGTTGTTGATCTTTGAGAGGTCCTACCACGCTGCACTCAGCACCCACAAAGCCTTCTTCTGGCACGCATGTCTCTTCATGCAATGATGAGAGGTCTTGGCAACGGAAGTGTTCCAAGTTGACCTGGCCCTCAGACAGTTCGTCTAAGCTGCGGTGGATCTGGGCGCTGTCAAAGTCAATGAGCACCATGTGCCACCCCAGTCTGCTGCACAGGTTGAGCAGACACGTCGCAGTGGGCAACAAAAAAGCCGTGTATGTGATCCAGTGCGCTCAGCAAACTCCTGGCTACATCTCTGATGGCAAACGGCGCCACTCCCGGGAATCTCAGCATGTTCAGAAGTGAAGGCCCCAGCATCTCCATCACTATCGCATGTCTTAATGCTTTCGCCTCAATCTCGATCACTTGCACAATGTTTGGATGCCCGCCCACGAGTTTGAGAACTTCGAACTCCTTCCAAAGCTCCTGATTCCTTTAAGGTCACCTTTGGCCAATACGACGGCGCAAGGTTGCAAGGAAAGTTGTGCACGTGCACAACTTTCCTTGCAACCTTGCGGCCATCGAAATGGCCCAAGATGACGTGGGCAAGTGCGCCCTGGCCAACTGTCTCCGCCTGCGCAGCCGACCGGGCCGCCAGCAGTGTGGGCCCGGGCTGCGCGGGTGCCGCCAGGGCACTGGGCTGCGGCCGGCGCCACCTTGCTGCCTTTGAGAACATGGTGGCAAGGGCGTGTTTACCAAATTGCGTGAGTTGCTACCTTCATGCTGATATTGATACATTGGGACCCACTCTGATGGCTGTCAGCCAAACGGCATCGTTGCATTGGGAAACGACGGTCATCACCCCAGCGCTCTGTCATCTCTTTGCCACGAGACATCGCAGTCGGACAACGAGTTGCGCACCTTTGACATTTGAGCAAACCGAAAGAAGCCACTATGCGGTGGAGCCAACCCGGAAGCTTCTGCCTGGCAGCTCGAGTGGTGCGCTCGCTGGGATGTGATTTCACTTCAAGTGCAAACCGTACGGGAATCAGCTCGCAACAGAATTCCAGAAGGCGAGATGAACTGCACGTTTGCCAACGCTTTAGCCTTTCCGAGGAACCTGTACTGACTGTGATACTGCTGGGCAAGTGGCAGACATTCAAACGATGTGCAGCTGCTTGAGGAAACACTGCAGCAAGTAAATTCGAGTGTTGCACAGCCTCAAGGCTATAAGTTCTATCACCCATCAAAGTCTTTCAAGTGCCCCGCCTGCAGCGGTCCCATGCTATCACGCCTGGGCCATGGTGGCCATTCAACAAACATCCCCGAGAAACAGCTCTGTGCTTGATGACTTCATGACTGCTTGCTGAAACATCAACTGGACCCACGCCCGGACGTCACGCCCGGACATCACGCCCGAGTCGCCCGGCGCCCGCATCGTCCCACATTTCCACGGCACAGCGCACGGCCTTGCCGCCACCAAAAACGAACGACTTCCGAACTCAAAGCCCACCTGCCCGAGCGAGACAGGGCACTTCAGGGGCGGGAAGGGGCGGTCGATGGAATCGATGCAGTCCTCTGCGCAAAATAATTGCAGGCCGTGGTGCACAAGAAGGAGAACCATGAGGGCCAAGTGAGAGACGTTGGACTAGCATGCCTCTGGTGCTGTGGAAAGTGTGTGTGTGTGTGTTGTGCTGCTCGCAAGCACGACTCCTCAAGTGCGTCTCTCTCATCATCACTCAGATGAGATAAATCTGAAATTCCGCACTGGTACTCCTCACCAGCGAGTTCAAGCACCACCAACAAAACAGAAGCCATGCTGCTCATCTTCAACGCCAAGGACAGCTCCTCTCTGCTGGCTCGAATCGCCTGCGAAGCAACGCTCCCTGCGTAGAGGAAAGACTTGCCCCGCTTGCCTCCATGAGCGTCCCATCATCTTCAAAGCTTTTGGGCACTTTGGCCACCTCAAGTAGTTTAATCTAAGTCCAATCCCCAAGGTCGTTGGGTCGTATGGGTCGTATGTTTCGTATGGGTCGCGTGGGTCATATGGTGCACACTTTGTGGTGACCCATAAGCTTGCCGTTCAATCCCGCGGTAGCTTCACGTCTGCGCACCAAAAGCAAAGCAAGCAGGCCTCTGAGTCTGGCATGGAAAGCCATTTTGCCCGCTCGGTGAGCCACAAGGACCTTGGCTTAGCAAAGGGTTGGATTGAATCAAGGCGTATTGAGACACGGACTCGCCGCACGCACTGTGCCCTAGACGCCGGCAAACAGAGCAGACCTCGGATTCGAAGCAATGCACATCCCCCCCTCCGTGAAATGCCGCGGCTTTCGGCAGCACTAGCCGACACTTGTGACCTTGGCCTTACCTGTGCCCCCGGCGCTGGGTGGCGGCGGCGGCTTGGAAGGCTGCCGGTCGCCGTAGAGATTGCTGGAACAGGGGGCCGATTGACAGACAAACAAAACCACAGGTGCCGATCACGCAATTCGCCGCCTGCCCAGCAGGCTGCATTCCCAGAACTTCTGGGGAGCCTCAAGCGCCTGCGCGAAAGCCAACTGACAAAATGGATTGCTTCTGCGATGGCCTTCGTCACCGCCTGCAGGGCATCCCGCACCTGCCACTGGGCAAAAGCATGGGTCACATGTGTCATGGTCAAAGCTCATTGTGCGTGCCAGGGCCATGGTCTGGTAGCAGAGGCATCCGTATCAAGGCTCTCTGCATTCCCTCTTCAGGGGTCCATGACTATCCCTGTCAACAACAAAAAAAAGCGTGGTTGGGGCCATTGATCATTGAGTGTCTACATCTCTCTGGATGTCTCTGGTTGCCTTGCGATTGCTGGGCTCCAGCTTGGCTGCCTGCAGCAAATCCTTCCTTGCGTGGTGCACGCTAGATGCGGTGACGCGCCCGAGCGCAAGGCTCACTAGCTCACTCCTGGCTGCATGGAGCATGGGACGTGAACCGTCTGGCCTAAGGTGACACATGATGCAATAAAGTTGTGCAATGTCATGCCAAGTGAAGTCAGCTCAAAGTGGACGTGATGTGCACATGTGGCAAGTGAAATCAAACTTCAGGCAGCTGCTTCTGCGCAAGCGCTTGCTGCGCAATGCCACGCCGATAGAATGCCTCCAGCATCAATTCATATAAGTTCCCCCTTCATCCTGATTCTCTCCTGAAATCCAAATACTCCCCTCGTTCCTTGGTGTTCGATGGGTCCAGCGCCAGCACTTCGTCACAAAGTGTCACAACCTGCATGACCCACACCTCGAGCTCTCTCCGAGCGGCGCACGAGTGCGCCTTTGCCATATCGTCGATGGACTCAAGCTGCAGCAGAGCTGCGGCCAAATTCAGCCGGACCTTCGGAGCTCAAAGCCGCACTGCCGGACACGTAGACGTCGCTGTCAGCTGGGTCTGGTGCGGGCACTTCCAGTGCCTGGACTCAGAACTCAAACTGAAACACGTCATGTGCTTGAACCCCGTGCATGTGTTCTAGCCTCCGCGTCTCCAGAGCGTATCTTTGCCAAGGCCTCCAAAATGCCAAACCGAAGGAGACTATGATGTGGACTTCTAGAACCTAAACGTACAACAACTCATTCTGTCCATCAGTGCCTCGCCATAGCAGCGGGCAGCGTCCGAGAATTGCTCAGCCTGATAGCTTTCCGAATGCCATCCTCTGAATTGCTCAGCCCCAACTAGCCTCACTCAGAACGTTGCCTTGTTGGTGAATGTTACTTGTGGTGTCAATACCTCCACAATCTGCATGCTGCACATCCCGTGCCGGGTCCTGGAAAAACGTGTTGCCCTTCTCTCGCAGCTCGGCAGCCGACATATCCTGCCCGCTTCCTCTAAAAATGCGTTGTGCGGCCCAGCCCGGCACACGTGGCTGGAAAACTTAACCCAAAAGAGCTCTGTTCAGAATGCGGGCTACTGATGCATGTGTGTGTGTGTGTTTCTTCCTCACGCAAGGGTCTGACAAAGATATCTAGTGTGTAGTCCAGCCCTTTGGGAACGCAGACTTACATTGCGTGAGTCTCAACTCGGTTTGCATTCTTCAAGGCGGCCAGTAAGCATTCAAGGGCCAAATGCTGGCTCATTCTGGCACCATAGGTCTGCGTTGCCTCGTCCTTCCGGAGCCCATCACAAGGGTTGATGAGGTTCACCGGGCATCCTTTCTTGTACACGAACCCGCTGATGGTCCGAAAGCGAAAAAGCAGATGGCCTCTGGGAGGAGCCTGTGGCATGGTGCAGCCTTCACGCCGGAGGACCAAATAGCAGTCTTCCAGCCTGTATAGTGCACATGACCTTTGGTGTGTCCTGTTTGACTCGTTTGACCTTCTTGAGCATGTGATCTGCGGAAAGCTCCCCCCCCCCAGTATCCCACAGGCAGTTGCCAATTCCTTTCTCAAGTCTGAAAAAACAACTCCGCGGCCGTGGTTCTCATGTTAAAGAGACAACACACGAATACTTTGATGCAATAGGTGAAGTCATCTCGAAGGATGGGCGCATTTGGCGCTGATGTACTTCTGTCTGCTCGCTAACATTTCCCATCACAGGATTAATGTTTTGGGCCTACGAGCCAAGACAGGTTTCGCCAAATGGCTTCAGCCACTTACCGCAATCGCCCACACCCAGCCAGCTGCGCCTGCGCCGCATCAGGTCGGACGGCCGCAGCCAGCGTGCGGTGCAAGGCAGAATGCCGTCAGGGCTGAGTTCGTTGTGTCTTGAGTCTTCTGTTTGCAAGCGCGCCTCGGTCGTGAAACTTTCATTCCTAGCATTGTCAGCATGCAATCTTGTCAACAACGACCAAGGTACTAACACCAATAGTTTCGAGCTTAGGCTGACCCTAATGAATCTATGCGGGAGTCGACAAATGAAATTTGATCGAACTCGTGCTGGAAGGCTGTCCGATTGGAAGCTTGATACTCAAACGCTTCTGCACTGGCTTCTACCTCAACTCGGTATCAGCATGCTTGCTCCCGCAACCTCAAGCATTTTGCTGTGGAAACTCGGAACCAGCACGCGCACTGACTTTCCTGCTCCCTCATTCCTTGCCACCCGAGCGCACGAAGAGCCTTATTCATCTCATTCAAATTCGCGGAGACGTACGGGAAAGTGCGGCCGAAGCACAACCGCAATAGCCGCCCGCCATCCACCAATCCACGCAATGCTTCATCTGTGAGCTCCTCGAAACATGAAAGAACACTCGCTGCATTTCAACTGCCAAAGTCTCGGTCTAGACATGCAGCGCTTGAGACAGCTATGAGCTTACGCATAGGAACACAAGATCCAGGTGGTAGCACGGATCCTATACATGCATCACCATCGTCAGCTCACAGCGGATAAAAGCTGCCAAGGGCTGGCCAGCTAAGAGCACCTGGTCTGTCAGGCTCCTTGATGTCATCATCCGCGAATATGCCGGTTGCTTCTGCCTCCCCGTCTTGGACATATGCGTTGTCATGCGGAATCTTCCGGCCTCAGCCTCCATTTCCTTCAGGATCACAGCCGCCTATCGACGCCAACATTTATTCACACATAGTTTATGAAAGCACGCGGGCAGCTCTAGTGCACCATGGTCTACATCTACATGGTAGAGGTGCTCTTTGCTCCTTGTCTTTGGTCCATTATGTTCTTGACTCCCCCCCTACGCAGAGAACCGTTCTTGAATTAAGCGAATTGATGGCTCGGGCGGCATCTTCGTACTCTTGCCTTGGAGTCGAAGCCCTCCCTCTTGACACTGCGCACCCACACGTCTCCACGCAAGCCGCCTGTCCGGAGCGGTCTTGATGGCACAGATTCCCCAAAATGGAACAGCAATACCTTCACCAGGCGTTGTAACTGGATGGCCAGCAAGGCGATGGTGTTTGTTTCTCTGCGCAGCAGGTTGCCTTTGACCATTGCATGGGCGGAAACGCTCTGCTCATTTAAGAAGAGCAGAAGAAAGCTACTTTGTACGACTTGCAACCACGGAATCACAGTCACTGCTTGCGGAGCTGATCCTGAGCGAAATGCCACTGGTTTCTGAGAGCAAGCCGCAACAGTTTGATCCAGGGCTTCCAGTGTCATCAGGACTGATAAAGGCAGAATAGAATGTCAACATGCTGTTGGCATGAAGCAACCAGTCACGTGATGGTTGGTCCAGGGAAAAGTTCCCGATGTTGGCCCCCACTGCCCCTTTTCCCTTTCAAAGGTCCCTAAAGAGTCCACAAAAAGAATCCCCTTTCCTCAAGCGACAACGAACACAGCCGTCTGCACCTGACCAGCTCACATGACACTCCAAGCGTCCAATATCTCCTGGACTCGCTCCTCGCAATTGTTTTGCAAGGCCTGGCATATCGCAACTGACGAAAAAGTCCGAGGCCCTTGGAAAAAACGTGTCAGCCCCCGGCGTCTAGGAGTTGCTCCTCCAGGTGGATGGTTTTTGGGCTCACTTGTCGTGCACCTGTCACTCACCGACTCACTGCTTGCCGCTTGGCCGCTAGGCCTGGCTTTCAGCCCGGCGCCCTTTTGCGCAGTCTGAGCCATTTCAGCATTTCGGTGCCTTGTGCGGGACCTTCAGGCTCCGTCCGTGTCTTGAACTCGCGGACTGGCGTCTTTCGGGAAGGATCCGGTGCCGCAACCGTCCTTCGTTCCAAGCTGCCAAGAAACCCTCATCCGAAACACCAACTCGGATGAAAGGGCACTGTTGCCGAAAGCTGTCACTTGACTTGCATGTCGTGGTTTCATCTTCCGTGTGAGATTCACGTGGCTTGCAATGTGCAAGGTCCTTGGTGCGGAGTACTCCAAAGCCGCGCACATGGCGCCGCCCACCTCCCGCAGCACTGCCCGAGGCAGGGCCTCGGTTGCTTCAGGAAGACCGGGAAGATCACACCTCGGATCTCCGACCGAACTTTCACGACCCATTTGTGCGGTGTTGCACAAAGGGACCACGGCTTTAGCAAACACGCATCGATAAGGGCTTGGCAAGCATACGCCAGTGTTCGGATCCATGACATACAAGGTGGACTCTTGTGCAGGAAGATCGATCCTCAAGGCGTCCGTCTCTGAACTCAGTTCAACTGACTGGGTGACTGAGTCACTGGGCCGGCTCGCTTCGCCTGGCTCCAGCAGCTGAGCACCGACTCCTGCACAGAACTCGCAACAGAACCGGGAGCACAGGAAACTCGGAAGCTCGGAAGGCAAACTCCACTCTTCAGTCGGGCGCCTAAGCCAAGGGAGACGGCCACCACTTGCGAGCTCTTGTTGAAAACCTCAGCGAAGGCCCAGCGGCTAAGCCGCTAAGCTGAAAATCGAATCCGCCAAATGGGGCACGGGCAGCGAGTTGAGATTGGACCGGCGCGACTGTGACCGCTTGCCTCGAGAGCTCTTTTCGTTGTGCAATGATGGGGAAGGTCAAACTTTCAAACACCACTCGTGTGTGAAACTTGCACGCAGGGTCAATGTGCACATGTCACCCGTTCTTTCTGGGAAAAGGATCAACCTGACTCTCATGCAGCAATTGAGGCAGACGCATCTGCAACCTTCGAGCTGAAGGCGCGCAGTAGACCTGCAAAGGCCAGGGTGGCGCTCCTCCCTTTCGCCAGCTTGGCCAGCCTTGGGGTTGATCTGCGGCCCAGGCCCCACGAAGCCACTGGCAGGGCCGCGCGCGACAACGGAGATGCCCCAGTATCAAAGAAGTCTACTCAAAATTCTGCCAGAAGCCACAAGCGCGGGCTTCTATTGACTGAGAACTTCCCCTCCCTTACCTACTGACACAGCGACGCAAGAAGTGCCGGCGCCTTTGTGGGCCCATGCCGAACCATTCTTTCGGCGTCGAGGATTCTTGGATGGAAAACGTGCTCCCGATCACAGTGACACCGTCCTGGCCGTCCAAAGGTGTACTTCATTCAGCGCGACTCGGCTGTCCTCCGCGTAGAGCATTTCTTTTTGCAGCTCGCCAGAGGAGGATTGCCCCATGGCCGGCCCCGGTGAGGAGCAATGAAGCTCCAGCTGCCAGCTGTTAGTCGTTGCTACCGCATTTGTCTCCATAAGGACGTGATGAAGTTGCAAAGGCTGTCGGAATCACAGACTGCATGACGCAATCACGATGTGTGGCTGCTATCGGCCTGAACTCAGAGGGATAACAACAACCATCAGCATCCATAGCTGGCTGCAGTCACAATGTATGAGTGGTCCATTCAAACTGCAGGTCACTGGCTCACACAATCTAAAGGACGCTGCAATGGTGCGCACATCAGCCTGCGTCAGCTTGATGATCAAACCTCATCCACCAGAGAATCCAACGCGCGCTGTGCTTTGACTTGCAGACCAGAAGCTGGATTTCATCGCGGTTTAGCAGGCGTGCACGGACACCGTGCTGCCGAAGGAACACACAAATGTCCTCCACAGCGCGGATAGAGAGGAAAGCCTGAGCTTGAATGACCACCAATGGCGGAACAGTCCTCGCTCCTTGGACTGCGCGTCACAATGAGGACCTTGCGATGCTGGCAGCAGACCGTCACCTCACGAGAGCAAGAGCAAATCGTTCGCTTCCCACAGCAACTTACTCGAGTCTTACTGGGAATCCGCCACTTTGGCTCAGGCATGCGCCAGATCTGAATCCAGAGAGTGGGTGCCTTGCAAAGGTGATGCCCCAGCCTGCCGGGAGCTGGAGATGATTCTTGATCTTGCAGCAACACCCTGAAGTGCTTAGGGTACCACAACCAACAGCTAGCGAAGCTTTCGGAAAAGACCAAGTGAGCGGCGCTAAAACATATGTTTTGCGCGCTGGCCTGCATTCGCGGAGCAATCGTGCTTCTTTGGCACATATGCCTTCCTTTCACGTAGCTTTTGGATTGCTCCGAACCGGTTGTATTAAGGAGTTATGTTTGTTACAAACCATTCCGCAGGCCTGTCGTGGCGGACCCCTTTCCCTATGCGAGTTGGTCTGCTACATTCTTGCAGAAACAAAGCGGACTGTTCGGTTTCACACCAAGGGAGCTTGGATGTGAAAAGGTGTATCAATGAGTGCGGGGAAGGTTAGGGAGTACAAATACATACTGTCCTAGTGTCGCTATTCTTGTGATGAGGTCTCCTACCACGATTTCTCGCCTTGATGTTTCTGCGGTTGCACAAACAAAAGATGCAGCTAGGATAGGGTGGTTGCCAGAACTTTGCGCCTGCCCTTGGAATTTAGCTTGGCGACGGCGAGCCTTCAAGCCTTGCAAGCTTTGACCACTTGAGCAGCACCAAAACCCTAAGCGAGCGGTGTCTCAGCTTGCTTCGGCAAAAGCAGCCTTGCAAAGCCAGTTTGCAAAAGGGTATCTCGTATCCTGCTGTGGCTGACTCAAGGTGCTGATCTAGTCATGCAGTGGCACTTTGCCCGAGTTTGCCCGGTGAGTTCAGAACGAGGTCACACGGGTGGGGTTGTAATGAACCAATTGAGCTGCTCTGAAAACACATGTCGTGGAGTTTTGCTCAAGTGTACGCTTGTGGTTTGCTTACATAACATGGCTTCCGCGGCAATCAGCCAGCATGACAGCTTGCGTTTTCCTTACGCATGAGCATTTTGAGTGTTTTCCCACAAGAATTGTCATATGCAGGCTCTTGATTCTACCAGACTTGTTCAAGATGACGCTGAGGACGGCATCCAAGGCGCGGGCAAGCTGCGAGGCCAGCTTATGCAATTCAAGCTCGGAGTGATTGAAACAACCCAAGCCAGGATTAAAAACGTACGTGGGCACGTGTACAACTTTGCCATGGCAGGCAAACTTCCTGTGGCAGTCGTTCTGGGGGGCAAGAATGCATATCGCAATTCCCACTGGAAAGGGCACTCTTTGAATTGACAATTCAGCAACTCCATCTAACTCCCTTGCTTGGCAAGTTGCGAAGTTGACGGTTGGTGCCCGGGGCCCCCCGTTTGGACGAGGACCGAGCGGAAATCCTCCTGGGATGCCTGATAATGTGGTTCCGTCCCAGGGATTTTTGGGGAACTCACTATGTGTTCCGCATGAGGGTCGGCCTTTGTGGTGCAGAGGGTTCGGTCAAAGTCCAAGAAGACAAAGCTCGGCTGCCGCTGCATTACAAGCTGCCATACCTTGACGAAGCGACGAGACTCTTCTGCATTTGCCGTGAGGTAAAACGGAGTAGCGGAGCATGAGCTGAATGGAAAAATGCCATACAATTTCTGCCAAGTAACATCTTCCCCATCACCGCGTAGTAGCTTGCATCTCTCACAGGACCATTGCTCGCAAACGACGCCTTGGGCCAGGAGGCTTGACTGTCGGTGGAGATCAGTAAAAAAGCTTGATCAAGCAACAAAAAAGACAGCCTTAGGTTTCACCCGTGCTGCCAGGCAGCATCGATTGTCGTGTGGGCAAAAGCTGCGGCTGCCACATCGCTCACCTCCATAGGGACAGCGCCTAAGAATCCCGCGGTTCAAAGTTGCGAGTCCCGACAAGCGCCGACAGCAAGACACTCAGCGCTGCACCCTTGAGCTCGCACTTTGGACTCGCACAAAAGGCAAAGACCTCTGTGGAGCCACAAACGGTTGAGCTTCACCTGGGCTAGCAAAAAGGGAAACAAAACACGAGCCCAGCTTGGAGACCGAGGCACGCCACAGGTGCGGCAAGCGCTCGCATGCGCCTGAGGACATAGTTCGTCAGCTCAGGGCTTGCACTCTCAATGCTGCCTCATTGGCTGGGCGCGCTGATCTGGGCCAGCCAGAACCCCCAGGCTCCAACTCTGCGAGCATCGCCTTGGGCAATAAGATTGAAAAAGGAGTGATTTCGCGTGCCAACGCTCAAATTCAGGCGATGTGCACGCTCGCAGCATGGCCAGTTGCATATGCGCGCTTCAGCTTGATTGCAACTGAGGTTCCTCGCGGTGGCCTCCAAGAGAGACTGCTGCGCGATGCCTCACGGCGGCCATGCACTCCAACATCCATGCGCCGTTACTTCTACCTGCACCACGAAACTCGCCACTTGTCATGCCTATACTCCACGTCATCCATCACAAAAACAAAAAAAGGCGTTGGCCGCAGTGCCGGGGAATGCGAACTGTAAAGTCCGCGGACTCGAGCCTGGCCAGCAAATCTGGAAAGCCTGGACCGAGGCTGGCGAGCTACCCCCCCTAAAGACAGGCTCAGTGACCCCTGCCATGTTTCTTCCCGAATTCCCTGAGGTCCGTCCGAGTCGTGGCCAGTTGCTTATTGTCTTGCTTTCTTTGATCGGATGCTTGTGGATTCTGCCGGAGTCCGCTTGCCTCTGGGCACGAAGGCTGCGGCGCCCTTGGAGCCTGAGACCTCAGGAAAAAGGAGCTCGGGCTGAGCCACAGGCGAAAGAAAAAGCAACAGCAAACGGATGTGTTTGCGACACCTCTGGCCTGTTCAAATCTGCTTTCTCTTGCCGCAACGTGAAGCAGCTTTGAGTCAGAGCAAGCGAAAAAGAAACACAGAGGGCGCGAGAGAGAGAGAGAGTGTGGCGAAAATCACAAGTGATGACTCACGGGAGATCGCGCCTGCAATCTTAGAGCTTAGACATGAAGGCAAGTGCAGGGCCGAGCATTTACAGTGCGAGCTTTGAGGGTGCTTCAATAGCAGTGCAGTTGATTGTTTGAGCAAGTATACTCACATAGGAGACTGCATGATCGACAAACACCAGTTGTCATTGGCCGAGAAGGCATGTCAAGTCTGGCACTGTGCGGCCCTGGACAAGTAGGGCCAAATGGTAGGGAACGACCCTGGCTCCCAGCACGACACGTTGGGAACATCTGGTGTCGAGTGTGGGGCATAGCCCGAAAGCATGGCTAGGGCCGCTGCGAAAAGTCGAGAAGCATCACTTCCTCGGTTGCTGCAAGCAGCGTTGCAACGGAACCCCGAAGGGTAGGAGGCTATGCAACTCTCCGGGTGGCTTTGAATGTGGGCTGGTCAAAGGCATTGCGTTTGTCATGCTCCGGATCAACTCAGGGACATTGGCAGCAAGGGTTTCAAGTTTCCACACTTGCAGACTGAATTGAAAATGTCAAAGCCCGCGATGGCTTGCTCGTGCCAGTCTCTCAAATGCAGCTGAGCAGCTCATGTCAGCAATAGGGTCAAGCCAGCGGAGAAATTCGCTCACGACCTCAATCTCAATCGCCAGCATATCCAAGGTGTGTCTTAAGGCGCGCGCCGGAAGCATTCCTTTGATGACCAGCAAGTGGCGCCTGCTGTGGAGGTGCAGCCCAGCTGACACCGCTGTGTCAGTCAACGGCCTGCAGCAGATACAAGCAAACAGGTCGAACCCCACTTGGCCAATGCCCACCGAACTTCCTAAGGCACAGGCGTGGCAAATGGATCTTCCCCCGCAAGAACCTGGCAGAGCCGTGCACGTCCAGTCTACCGCCTCAGGTTGCCGGCCTTCAGCTTCTGCTCAAGGGTGCTGGCCCTCGCCTCAACCTGTGCCAAGTCTTGGAGAGTCGTTGCGTCTTTGGCATCCAAAGCTACTGCGACTCATGCTAACCATCTACTACATGCTCGGCGCAACCTGGGACAACGACAGGCAGACACTCAACTGCGGAGGCCTCTCGCAACGCTGCTATGTAGCGGCGCAGAGCCAACCGAATCGCAAGCGCCTCGGATTGGTTCGAAGCGGAAACTGGCGAATCAGCACAGTCCGTGTTATGAAGTGTCCCATCTCTTCCAGCCGGCAGACTTTGGCAGCTCCTCGCGCAATCAGCACCAGCTCGATGTATCGAGCTGCCTGCCTCGAGGCACACCCTCGGCTGTCACCGTCGCAAGCACTAAGGCACAGACTGCGGCAACTGAAGCCCAGCCTCCAGGCTTGGTGAAGGGACGGAAGCTTTCTCTCGACCCAGCCTGGACTGCAGCGAGAAGGGATCCAAGGCTCCGAGGACCTTCCACGTCACAGGAAAAAGAAAGGCTCCCGCATCCCAGATCTTGCCAACTTGCTCCGTGAGCCAGGCCTATGTCAGACTCTACAAAGTCCCGCTCCGATTTCCAGGGCCTGGCAAGTCACTTGAAGCGGCTTCGTGGGGCTTAGCTTATCTTGGCGTATCTTGGCTATCCGAGGCTATCCTGATGGAAGAGGAAGGAGGACGGGTTGCTTTAGCGTATCCGTCAGCTTCCTCGTGGACAGCCGCATAGTAGGCATCCAACAGGTGGTAGCTTTCCAGGAAGTGCTGCGCTTGATCCAGCGGTTTCCAGAGCTCGAGGCTCTGTGGCAGCGCTTCAAACTTCCACGGCACCCCGCTGGCCGGATGCCTTGGCCACTTGCACACTGCCTTGCTGAAGTGCCGCGCGTCGAACATCGCGGCCACCGCACCCCGGCACTCGTTCAGCGCATTGGCCATGTCCACATATCTCGCCCGGCGTACTGCGCGCGTGTCGCTTGTGTCGCCTGCCTCAGCCCCAAGCGGATCCCCGACCAGCTCCGTGTAGTAAAAGCTAGCGAGCTGCCGGAGGTCCTTCTCCACGGAAGTGGCGCTCTGCCACAAATGCAGACACAGCTTCTTGAAATTGATGAGCTCCCGCCGCACCGCCAAACAGGTCTGGACCTCTTCCCGAAAACAGTCCAAGATGACACTCGCCAAATCTGGCGAGAAGGCTGCGGCCACATCGCGCTCGATCAAGGCCCAGTCGCCCTGCCCGAAGGAAAGAATGTTCTCTTCTGCCAGGTTCAAGACGCAGGGACCAGGGATCTCTGCCACAAGCTTGCGCACGCGCTCAGCATCTGCCTCCCAGAGCCGAAGCTCATCCTGGAACCTGTCCGAGGCCATGCCATTCCGAGTGCGCGTCAATGCTCCAGTCGTTTACAAGGGTGTCTCTATGCGTCTGTCGTGTATGTGTGGGTGCGCGCACGGGCGTGTGGTGCGCGTGCTTGTTAGGCCTGTATAGGATGGGCTGCTTGTTAGTGCTTGTGGTGCGCGTGCATGGGCTGCTTGGTAAGGGCAGGCCACCAGCTTTCAAGTCTTCTAAAAGAAGGATCAAAGCCACCACCCCCCCCACCCCCAAGCCCGTGAACTGCCGGACGCGTGTTTCTTCTTTGGTGAAACAGCCGCGGCAGTGCCGCGGTGCGTGATAAGGCACTGATACTGCAACAGCTTGCCCTTGGCTAACCACCTGCAAACTCTACATATGTTCCACATACGCGTAGAGCACCATCCGTGACGAACCAAGCAATCAAACAACCAGAAACAAAAGTCAGCCGTGGGAAAATGGCAAGCTAGAGCACCAACTGTCGGACACGAAGCTATATACACTTGGAGGCATCACCTACTTGCTTCTTTGGCCAAGCTCCTGGCGAACATGTCTTTGGCTGCACGGGGTGTATATTGGGTATGTGTCACTCAATTCAAGCTAGCACGCGGCTCTCCTCCTACTTCTTCTCTCTGGCCTGTCGACGGCCAGACGACGAACGCAGCAAATGCAATCTGGAAAGCCAGGGACCATCACTGCTAAGTGTTGGTCACAATCCTAGTTGCATGGCCAGCAAGAGTGAAAGGCAACGAGCTGACAAAGGTGTACTGGTTTCAAAAGGCCAAGGTTGCTGTGGCCATTTGCACTTCAGACTGCAAAAGACGAGCAGTCGGCACTCCACGCTGATGCCGGCGGCAGCATGAAAAGACAATGAAGTTGACACGAAAAAGGGGAAGCGCAAGCAGAATGCGCATAACGTAGGCAGCATCATGTTATTGTGTGCATGATGACGCACGCACATCATGTTTGTGCTATGAACTCGGCATCATAGTTGCACGGCAGGCAGCAGCGTGGCTATGCGATTGGCATCATGGCAGCATGATGTTGCCAATTGCATCGGGATACATAGGCAGCATCATGGTTGCGCATGCAGCAGCGTGCGATGTGACAGCAGCTGCTCATTGATCCGGCCCTAGCAGCCAAGACAGCACCGCAGTTGGGAGACAAATGAAAGGGCCCCATTCCAAGCAACAGGTGACATGGGCATCTGCAAGAGGCAGCCTCACGGCTGCTGGAAGAAAAATAACCTCCCTCAACACAACCATTCACATACAATGCTGACCCTTCAATCCAAATTAACAGTTGCAAGGAGTACCAGCAACACTGTTTGGCTGAAAACGGCTTCCAAGGCCTGTCGCACTTTGGCCGCCAAGCTCTCACGCGGCAAGATAGGCTCCTCCTCCTTTGTGTTAGTTTCTTCCATTTCTTTTTGCCTTTCAGGCTCTCTTTTCCCACTGCGATCCTTGACCTGATCAGGGGGAAAGTGGCAAAACTGTCAAGCCCGAGCTGCCATGTACGTCGTCCCACAAGCGATAGACGCAGAGAAAGGCTAATCCGCGACCACCCCTTAACATGATGTGCAAAGGGCGAACACGAGCTCAAAAAAACGCACCCACTGTTCACGTGGCCGCGTGCCTGGCGCAATTGCTCCGCCAGGCTTTCGCGCGGAGCGCCTTGTGCCACCGCCTCCTCCAAGGCTTCTTTCGCAGCGAGTGCAGCAGCCGTGCGGGGGCCGACACTGAGACGACCAGACTTGGTGACCGTCAAGAAATCCTCGCGTGCCATTGCCACACAGCCCCTCAAGCTACAAGCCTTGCAACCTTACAGCTTTACAGTAATTACTGCAGGCCTTTGGCCACGGCAAAGCAGCAGCCACACTCTCAAGAAACATGGACTCTTTGTGTTGAGCGTCTCCGCCGAAGCTGTTGCGCCCCACGGCTGCTTTGGCCTGGTGGGGAAGCTCCAGCAACGAGCCGGAAGATGATGGCCCAGAATCCAATGCTTTCAGGCCATTCACTGCATCCTTGGCTCCACCGATGCCTGCCTGATTCCAAATGACCTTCTAAGGAGACACTGGTTGCAAACAAGCAGCTGCCGGGCCCACACTGCCATGCCCCGACGTACACTCACCCTTGGATGACATGAATTTTCACTGCCTGAAATGTGACTTCCAATTTGCGTTTCAGCTCAAACAAGAAATGAATATTGCATAGATAAGAGGCTTCCAGGACCATGGTATGCCTGGTGGTGCTCAAGGGGAGGTCGCCATGCTCAACTTCCAACAACTTCCCAGAAACTGGCCGCTCTTCACGCTCGACCTGCATGGAAGGGATGCGCCAGGAGTGTCTGCGACACAAGCAGCCGACATGCGAGGAGCCTCCGCGAGACTTTGGCGAGGTTCAGGCGCAGCAGTCACTTCAGCGCTAGCCGGGGCATCATCCACTTGGGCGATGTTGACTTTGCGCAGTTCACGCCGAAGCTCTGCGAGAATTGCAGCTTGGTCTGACCCTCTGGACATGGACGGGTCGAAGGTTTGCCGGCCACCTGGGTGGCCCATAGTTTTTCGCTCCTTGGTACAGCAGTTGGTCCACGGCTCATATTCCGCCGTGGATCTAAATGCAATTTCGTGTGTTTTTACTTCTCGGACAGCTGCGAACACTGATGTTTCATGCCAGCCAGATGGTAAGAAAACCGGCTCACGCGCACGCACACATGCCAGCCAAATGGTAAGAACACAGTCTCACGCGCGCCCGCTCAGCACTGCACACACGCCAATGGTAAGAACACTGGCTCACGCGCGCCCGCTCAGCACTGTACACCGGCTCACGCGCGCCCACTCAGCACTGCAAATGGTAAGAACACCCGCTCACCCGCACCCGCTCAGCACTGCACACGCGCCAATGGTAAGAACACCGGCTCACGCGCGCCCGCTCAGCACTGTACCCATGCCGCCCAAATGGTAAGAACACCCGCTCACGCGCACCCGCTCAGCACTGCACACACGCCAATGGTAAGAACACCGGCTCACGCGCGCCCGCTCAGCACTGTACGCATGCCGGCCAGATGGTAAGAACCCGCACACGCGCGCCCAGTACTGTGCCCATGCCAGCCAAATGGTGAGAACACCCGCTTGCGCACCCGCTCAGCACTGTATTGATGCCGGCCAGATGGTGTGCGCCAAGCTTAAGATAGACGGGTCTAGCAGGTCCACCCCGCAGTGAAGCAGCAGGTTTTCCAGTCGAACTGGCAGCAGACGCTAGGTGCTCAAAGCCCTAGCGAGTTTTGCTTGCCCTGGAGGCTCTGCTGTGACAAGGAACGCGGTCGGTGTTTGATTGGGAAAAAGCAGTGCATCGTGCCGGTTTGAAAGTAGTTCACGAGGAACAAAACCCTTGTTTTCATTGGGAAAAAGCAACGAAAACAGTAACCCTGCTTGGGGTGGACGTGTGAAAAGCACGGAAATCACTTAAGGCTTCGGTTCATTGGGATTTCCCATAGGAAAACACGTGTTATTCTTGACTTGTGCTACTGAAATCCTGTTTTGACTCACGGCGGAATATGAGCCGTGTTCCTAGTTGCAGTTCCTATATTTCATCTTGCTCACCCGGGCACACATTCACCTATCCCTGTTCTCGCAACCTCTGAGGCATCGACTAGCCCAGCCGGCCGTGATGGCTCCAAGCTAGCCCTACCTGCAGGATTGAAAAGCAAAGAAAGCTGACTGAGCCAAAGAGGCAGACATGCAGGGCCTCCGGGTGCAGAACGCATGGTAGTAGCTAGAGCCAAGGCCTTGACAGCTAGAGTCTGGAGTACAGGTGACTTCTACGGTCCGGCGCCCGTGCCTCACGCAGGAGGCTGGTGTGCACGGCACTTCGCTTGTCGCCCTTGTGCACCAGGCAAGGCTCAGGGACCTTCACCTCACGCTGCAAGCACTGGCCCTAAGTGGATTTTATGCGAGTAGGGACACTGTACCGGCGTACCAACATGTTCTTCGCCCCAACCAAATCATCTTCATATCACTCTGATTGGGTCACACTATCTGCAGCTTTTGTGTCGCCTGTGCTCACTTCTTGGGAGAACCCTGCCGCATCATGCGTTGGACCCTGTCCCTGTCACTAAGCGCCTGACCTGCATCGTCCGGACTTTGGGTGGAGACGCTTCAGCCGGTGGAAGATTCTCAGTTGCTTCAGGCGTAGGTGCTGCAGGCTTAGACGCTGCGGGCGACGCAGCCTGCACCACGCGACAAACGTCACCGTCCAGTGCTCTGATACCATTGGACGGCATGAGGCTTCCAATGTCACTGTTGGAGCTTAGCAGGTGAAAATAAACATATTATTGAGCGGCCAATTGGGTGGCTGCGTCGTAGCTTTCCAGCCTCTGCTACTGATTGCTTCCGGGCCTGGCCAGGAACACAAGAATATATCTTGCTCCAATGTCACTTCCGACCTGGGCCTTCTCCTTCTGCTCGGCTTTTCGTTTCTCCGCCTTCTCCTTCTTCACCTTAGAGATGGCTTCAACTCAGTACTAAGCCATACCTTGCCACTGCACCTTGGCCATCAAGTTCTGCCGCCTTGCATCCTCCATGTCCTGTAAGCGCACTCCAAGCTCATGTTCTACATGTATCGAGACATTCTAAACATTGCTCCTTGCGGAAAGCGGCCAGCTTACCTAACGTCTCTGGCGAGGGTGTCTTCGGCTTCTCAGCGAAAAGGTCGCAGCACTGCTTGCTGAGGGTCTGAACCTCCCAGTGTGCTACTGACATGACCGCGGGTTGTGCCGACTGCCCGAAGGCAGAACACAGGAGCGGCGCCTTCAATGGGAAGCACTCACAGGGCTGCGAAAGGTCGGCAGTTAATTTCTTCCTAGAACACTTGCTCCTCACAAGGGCGCTTATTGTGATCCTATGTTGCCTTCTTCTCCCCTGTTGGCACTGGACACAACCACACTTCCAGCCACAGGGACACAAAACTGCAAAATGCAAACGGCCCCCTCGCACCTGCTCCACCTGCTCCCTCAACTTGGACAGGCGCTCCCGCGCATCCTTGACGAAGCCCTGCATAGCTTCATGAAAGCGGTCATTTTCGCCGGGCTCCCCTTGCTCCAGAAGAGCTTCCACCGTAGTGACCCGCTTTTCGAGCTCATTGAGCCGCCGAACAGATTCATCGAAGTCGAGCTTGGAAGCGTCCTCACACAGCTTCAGATCCTCCAGGGCCCCATCTTTCACCTTGCGATCTGCCTCCAAGGTGTCCATGATGAAGCGGATCAAGGAGTAGGTCTTGTCCTCAAAGCCCTCTACCCGGGTAAGCAACGGCAAGGTGTCCAAGGTGAATCCTCGCTGCGATCCCTTGTTGGTACCATGGTTCAAGTAGTTGCCGATCTGCATTACCAGCGCAAAGACGTTGGGCAGCCACTTGGAGTTGACCACACTGGACAAGCACTGATCCAGCAAATTCACGTCCTTCGCAATTGCCCTGTGACTTTTTGGTGGTCACTTTGGTCAACTTTCGGGGTTGTGTACTTCTCACAATCAACCCAGCCAGCCCTAGACTCACGCAAACCAGAAAAGCTTAAGCCAAGCAGACAATCCTGACCAAACCAATCCAAACCAATCCAAACCGAGCTAAACCACCACCAAAACTGCAACCAGCCAACCAAAACCCCCCAGACGCGGCCTGTCCTTGGCCACCTCCCCGAATTCCGCTTCAAACATGTTCCGCGTGAGGCAGCTCTCCGCGCGGCTCTTGAAGTCCGGCATCTCCATGAGCTGAAGCAAAAACTCCTCCCGAGTCACGGCTCTCGCGTCTCTCGCTCGGAAGCTCGAGGTGCCTATGCCCGGAATACAGCTTTTGGCCCTCATCTTCGCGTGCTGCGAATTGAATGGGTTGGAGATCCAAGCCTTCGTTCCCGATTCCCTCTGACACCCATTATGGCCATCATTGATGGGTGACGCTTTGTCAATGGCAAACTCTAGCTGGAGCGCCCTTTGAGACACGATTGGGCCAGGTTGGGGTGTAAAACTCGGTGTCCAAGGCAAGCTGGCAGGATGGATATCTTAACTCTGCCAATCGAACCACCTCTTGTCCGCAACTCAGGGGCCTATCCGAATCTCTCGGGCACATCTGGAGCTATGCCCCTGGCCCCTTAGGAGTCCTCTGCACGGCCCCAGGGCAACACCGCGGGGTCGTTGTTCGCTTTGAAGTCCACGAGCTCTTGCAGCTCCTCGCCCTGCGGGTAGAAGTCGATGACCTTCCCCAAGTTATCCACCTTGCGACAAGAAAAAGGACGAACCAGTTAAGGCGGTTGTGAGAGGTCAAGAAAGTATGCAAACACCTCAAGCATCTGTTTGTCGGCAAAGCGAAAACGGCCAAGAGCCGGCAACCAATGTGCAAGAGGGAGGACCAATGAACCAATTAGAACAGAAGGGCAAGTGCCCCGCACCCGATCTGACCACTATGTGCGTGGGTTCCTGGGTATCTGAGGTGTCGACATTCATGACCTTGTCATCCAAGTCCAAAACAGCGCTCTTGACGTGTGAGATGTTCACGCCGCAGCCATTCAGGAAAATCTCAACGGCTTGACTCCTCTTGGCATTCAGGCACTGCGCAACACTCTTTTTCTTGGTGTCCTTGGCTTCTGGTACAGCTCCAGCCTCCTCCTCCTTCTTCTTGAAGAAGAAGGACGTAAGAGCACTCATGTCCAACTTCACTCGGAGTGTGCTGGCCGTGCGATCAAGCTCTTCAGACTTTTCTTCTGGTTTGGCTGCATTGTTGAGGTCCGCAACAATCTTCTCAAACATTGAACCGGGAAAGCGATTGCCCAGCACGTTTGTCCAATGGAACTTCTTGCCAACCAGCTCCTTTGGTGGCTCAGGGCCAGGAGCAACGTCAGGCAGAGCCGATTTGCCTTTCCCCTTTGCCTTGCCTTTGGCAGGGGCAGCAGGCTTCCCACCTTTGCCAGCTGAAGCCTGCTCTGTTGCTTCTGCGCCTTGTCCCTCATTTTCAGCTATTGCCTCGCTGGCTGCTTTGGTAGGCGGCGGCGGGGGTCCCGGGCCTTTCTTTCCCTTGCCCTTCGATTTTGCCTTGGCAGCCTCTGGAGGGTTGCTGGCATCGCCATCTGCAGGCGCCTGCTCTGTTGCTGTTTCTGTGCCTTCTGGCTCATTTTCAGCTACTGCCTCACTGGCTGCTGTGGTAGGCGGCGGCGGGGGTCCCGGGCCTTTCTTTCCCTTGCCCTTCGATTTTGCCTTGGCAGCCTCTGGAGGGTTGCTGGCATCGCCATCTGCAGGCGCCTGCTCTGTTGCTGTTTCTGTGCCTTCTGGCTCATTTTCAGCTACTGCCTCGCTGGCTGCTTTGGTAGGCGGCGGCGGGGGTCCCGGGCCTTTCTTTCCCTTGCCCTTCGATTTTGCCTTGGCAGCCTCTGGAGGGTTGCTGGCATCGCCATCTGCAGGCGCCTGCTCTGTTGCTGTTTCTGTGCCTTCTGGCTCATTTTCAGCTACTGCCTCACTGGCTGCTTCGGTAGGTGGCGGCGGGGGTCCGGGGCCTTTCTTTCCCTTGCCTTTACCTTTGATTGCATGTCCAGAAGATCCGTCGCTTTCTTGCTGCGCATTCTCTGGTGCTTCAGTTTTGGCCAGCTCCAGCATCTCTACTTGTTTGCGGGAAGACTCCAGCTGAGAGCGCAGCTCCTGCACCTCCTTCTCCAGCTCCACAGTCTTCGTGTCGTCCTGCGGATTCTTGGTAAACTCCTCGAGTTTCGTCTCCAACGACTTTACCTTGTCTTCCAGCTCCGCATTCTGCTCGCACTGTGAGCCATATTGATCCAGGACATCCTCGTAGTCCGCCTTCTGAGCTGCAAGCAGGTTCTTCTGGAAGCGTAGAAGGACTTCATGTTGGCCAGCCATTCGCAAGCTCTTCAGGTGCCACTCCAAATATTTCAGCCGCAGGAGGCTCTTCACTTCGCTGGTCACCTCCGCACTCTTCTCGGAGAGGTCCAGCAGCACCGAGGCGATGCGCAGCGCACGGTCTGTGGCCTTCTGCATGATGAGAAGGAACTTGCGCAGCTCCCAGCCGTGGCCCTTGCGGTCCAGCTCCTCCAGGATGTGCGGATTCATCTGGGGGAAGAACTCCAGCGATGCCGTGATGTTGTGAACGTGCTCCTGCAGATCTGACGCCGCTCTCGAAGCGTTCTCGCCCACTGTCTCGGCACCCATAAAGAGAGCCTGGAAGTGCTTGGCCTTCAGCATCTCGGCCCATTCATCTTGACCCAGGTCGTCAGTGCCGTAGTCGTCCGAGTCCGCGTCAGCCTCGTTCCGCAGCCTGGCCAGCTCCGCCTGCAGCTCCTCCAATTCCGCCTGCTCAGACGCTGAAACCACCGGCACTGCCGGTGCCGGCACTGCCGGTGCCTGCGCCAACTGGTCTTCCTTTTCGTGGAGTAGCTCCATAAGACAGTTCACCTCCGAGGATGGCACAAGCGTCAACAATGCAACGCCGGTGAGGGTTGGTATGCCCGTTGAACACATGCCACAGTGCTTGTGTGTACACTCATTTGACGGCCTCCTCGTCCTTTGCAGCAAGCTGGCTCCGACATTTCTCCTCCACGACCTGGCAATGGCCAGATTCTCGGCTCAATTCAACAGTCTAGCCCCAATCACAGCAAAGCGTGCCTGCTGAATGTACGCTTCGAGACTCTGGTTGTCGCTTCCAGGGGCCTTAGCATTCCTCTGCCTCAGCTCAAGTCAAGCCATGCTTCGGTCGCATTGGTCTTACTGGACGCCAACAGCCGCCTGCCTCTTGACATGTTGCATACTATGCAGCTTGAGGAACAGAATTTCAATGGTTTGCGACTTCGCCTTCAATGCCTGCTGAAGATGCTGGATGGTGGCAGCCCTGGACTCGATATCCTTCAGGTGGAAATTGCAACTTGCTTCTGTTTGTGGAGAAAGAGCTGCCATACCACCCTCCGGGCAAACTGCTTCACAAGGCCCGTCCTTCTGCAAATGACTGACATTGCCGCGCAGCTCGTTGATCGTCCGATCAGCAATAATATTGGATCGGTCACCAATAATGCTCATGGACGGCGGCAGATGGCTAGATGAAGGAAGGCCGCGGACAGGCAAATAAAGGGTCTTGCTTTCCAATTGTCAGCTGGAGTGAATAGCAGCATTGTTCATAATGCGGCCTCGTTGTCCAACACAAAAGCTCGATTGTTGTGCGGAAATTGTGCCCACAACATGTGCAAATGATTCGCTGGCCTACTTTCTTTTGCCTGGGAACCGCAGTTTGTTATGGTCCTCAAGCCACTGCTGGGCCAGCGAAGCAAAATGCACACATGCTGCTCTCCGGGCTGGTGCTCCCAACGGGTTGCTCAAAAGCAAGCATCTCCTCGCTTCTCCTCTTCAAAAAGAGACATCCCCTTTTAAGCAACTTGCCAAAGGAAAAGCTGCAAGCTGCGGCAGGAGCGGTCTGCAAGCGGAGTTTTGTCGATCATTGGCTTATTTCTGCGTGAACGTCACCCCATGCCAGAACGGGCTGTCCCAAGCTGGGTTGCCCTCTGTCCCATCTCCTGACAGATTGCACCATGGACACGACAGAAATTGCTGAGCAAAGGAGGGTACAGAGCTCTTCTCACTGGAGCCGAAAGCTGACAGGTGCCTATCTCTGCCACCAGCTCTTCACAGAGTTCTTTGACCTGCATTCTCTGATCGACGTGCGAGCTACGTCGGAAATTCGGTCAGTAAACCCGATAATCTATTGGTAGTTGACGAGTGTACAAAGGGGCATTCCCTCGACTACCGTAGATGATTCATACTGACCGTTGCCCATGTCCCACTCAGAGGCGCGGTATGGCAACCAGGCGTCAGATGTGTGCCTCCGGATGCAGCCTTTCAAAGATGTCGGGTGGCAAGCATCTTTGCGGAGGAAACCTCAGCCAAGATGGACTCTGCCAAACGTTAACGTTTCGAGGAGAGACCGATACACGATACTGGATTCAAAACCCTGGCTGAAGAGCCCTCTCCCATGTTGGCAGGACATCTGTTCACTTGTTTCCAGAAGAAACGAAGCGAATAGTCGCGGCGTAACATAAAGAATCCGGCGAGTCGGCGGGAGCACTTGTTAGTTGTGTCCAGGATTCTGATATCATGTGTTTTACACAGGAAAACAAAGATTTTATGTATTTATGCAACCCCCCCGGACCCTGGTTTTACTGCCTTTTTGGGGATAGTAAATCTAGAATCTCGAGATTTAAATTCTCGAAATTTCCAATTGTGGTTCCCCCAAAGCCTCAGAATTTGGAGCTCGGAGTCCCAGCAACCCACCCAAGCAAGCCCAGACCAACCACCAACCCACCCAAGCAAGGAACACGTCAGACAAACCAGCCTTGTCTCAACCTGACGAGACTCACATGTCTGAGACTAGCCTCAGGCCCAGCCCAAACACCCAAGCAAGGCCCAGCCCGGGCCCCCGGGCTGATCACGGTAGCCTTAAATAGGGCCCCACCCCCTCCCCCCCCGTCGCCCGCTGATTTTGTCCGTCGCCCGGTTATGGTCATCTTGCAAAAGGCCTCTCCCCTTCCTGTGGGCCCTGGTGTGTTCCGGTTAGGGCCAAGGCTTTGAGAGTCGTACCCCGGTCGGCAAGCGGCCCCCCCCAAGTGGGGGATACCATTGGGGGGGGGTGGCCGCTCGCCGACCGGAGCCATATATATATATATATATATATATGCACATATATTGTATGATCATTTTCAAAAGCAGCCTTCAAAATCCTCGTGGATTATAGAGTGTCTTCAGCCAAAACCCGGTCAGGCATTCAGAACCAAGACCAGAGCAGCGACCGGCGAAGCCACATGGACCGCAAAGCAACTGCTGTGGGGCACAAAATGCACTTGAGCTCCAACTCAAGGGTTGCAACTGTTCAGTACAAGCGTAGTACACTAAATACAGCTCCGCAGCTCCAGATCAAAAGACCCGTGGCATGAGTATGTCGTATATATAATATACAAACTTCATGACCTCCAGCATGTCCAGCTCATGCAATGTAGCCCCCCAAAAACCTTGTAGGAATGCCAACGTCCACACGCGATGCTTTCTTATCCTGAGAAAAAGGCAGGTCCGCACGATTCGTTGCCCGAAAGGGACCTGATACGAACCTTAAAAGCGGCAAGGCTGCATCTTCACTCACAGTCACATTGGCTTTGCGTCCGGCTCAACGCTGGGCAAGTACCTGGTTCGGTCCTAAGTGCATCAAGTGCCCAACCGAGATCGCGCATTCGTGATCTTTCGTGCATGGGCAGCGGGCGGTAGCATTTGCCGTGCCCCCGTGAAGCACGCGCACGTCTCGCACCTGGCGCGAGGCTCTTCCCCAGCCCACTCACTGTGAGCCCGTGAGCCCTACCAGCGCAGCCCCAGCTGGAACGGGGCACAACCGGGAGTTCTGCCACCTTGGGTTGGCATGCCTCACTTGCACCAATGGTGCCATGCCTTTTTGAGACCAAAGAAACGAATTCTCAAACTTCCAAAATATAGATACAAGAGTCAAAGAGCGCTAAGCCACAATGCCACAATATCACCCTTTCTGCTTGCATGTAGAGGTAGCCTGAGGTCGGCACTTTGCAGGCTCTCTTTTGCCGTTCCAGTCCCTGTCCCGCTTACCTAACACGCCAAAAATCGACCTCCAGCCCAGTGCCGCTAGGCAGGTCTGGCCTGGAACGATCCTCATGGGGCCATTCAAACTTGTCAGCTCCTCACGTGGCTCGCCGGCATGGCTTCGTAATTTGACATTTAACGTTCATTCGAATAACCCGCCCTCTCTCCTGAATACAGAAATTCACACTGACCAAGGGCGGTGGCATGTCCACGTCCAACCTGCGAGCCACCTGCATGCGCGTGGTCATGTCTAATTTGCAATTCAATACACTGTGCTGCGCCGCATGGTTGGTGCCCGCCTGCATGTCGGAATGCAGTTTCTGCGCCTCATCCACGTGAGGAAGGACAAAGTCTCCTCCGCCGCTATAGACCAGAAAACCCGACCTGCCATCTGCTCTGCATCTGACATGTTGGCGCCATGTTGCAAAGCATTTGTGAGGCAGAATTGTGTGCCTAAAAATGTAATCCAGCAGAGCCCGTAGCCTCGCAACATGAACATGGCAGCACAACACCCGTTAAGCCGAGCTTGGCACTTCCGCGTTGAGGCATCCAGCAAATTCTCGGCAATAGCTGGGACATGCAGGATCCTTGCCCGAACATCCCGAAAGCTGAAAGTCGCTTTCGTGTCGCTTTCGTGTCGGCCCGGCTCAGAGTCCAGCGAGCCGGTGCTGGAGGCCACCCCGAAGGAGTATCGCCCTGGCCCTCGGTTTCCGGCCTGCGTTGGGCCGACAATCTCCTCGGCGTGCAAGCGACTCCAGACATTCAGAGGGCTTTCAGTGAGATCGTGCGCGCAACTCCTTGGCCAGAGACTCGCACGTCGTCCACAATGTATGGCACTGGGCGAGATTGAGGACATCCTCGCGTTGAATGGTGGCACTGGCGCGAATCAGACAACAAACGAACCACACCAAATCGACGCCTCTATGATAACGAAGCCGCTGTGTCTGAAGATTTTGAAGGCCGCATCCTCGCTCGCAAAGCATCGCGGTGGCCAGCGCACTTTTCACGCGTGAGAAAACTGTGCTTGGAAGGGAGATGCTGTTTAAAATCAGCTGCGGTGGTTTTTCCCTCATGATTGGACACACGTTTGGCGTAAGGCCCGGCACAATAGAGAAGAACATCACGACTGCAGGGACCACTCATGGTTGCATCGCCGCAAAACCCACGCCTCAATTTAGATATGGAGCTACATAATTTGCCCGCACCTCAAACCAGCGTAAATGCGTCGTTTGCACCAAGGACATCCTTGCAAAAGGGCATGATCTCCACTGGGCAATGCTATTGCCCGCATCCCCCATAACGGCGGCACAACCAAACGGCGAACAAGAACGTGTGGCTGCCTTCTTGGGTTGGTTAGGTGGGCTGATTCTCTGAACGACCAGTAGAAGTGAACTCATTTGGTCTGACAAAGGGAACACTGATGACTGTTCGGAGGATGGCAAAGGTTTATCCTGCAGCTGTAGCGCGCGCATGTGAGGCACAGCAGCTGGTTGCGGTTGCCCTGCAAACAGCAACATTTGGAGTTGGAGCTCTTGAAGGCGTTCCTTAGGCTTTTGTTGTCTTGACACGTTAGATTCTTGAACTTGAATATGTTAAAGAGCGTCTTCCTAAGAGGCCTTCAATCCTCTCGGAAGGATCTTGAACTTGGGCACGAAAGACACAAATTCACTGTTGCGCCGGCGAAGGCTGAGGAACTGGAAGACAAATACGTTGCGCGGTTGCCCTTCGCAGCCTCAATTACATTACGGAAAAACCCCCCTCGCTGGACACCCTGCTTTCGAACCTGCTCCGCTGAACATAGGAGCCCGCGACAAAAACCTCAAACGGCCGCCCCCTTCATCTACTCCAACGCATGCCTAGTCCACTGGATACGGCGCTGGATGTCAGTGCAGGTCCAGCTCGGTTGTCAATACAAGGCACTGCCCGCAACACAGCTCCCTTTGCTTCTCTCGCATGAGGTTTGGAGCCCTACCTCAAGGCCTTGAAGCAACACAAAACATCGAAAAACCCGTGGGACAACTAGCCCGGACACGCGTTACTAGCGTTGCTAGCACTGCCCCAAGCTGTTGCTGCTGTCGTCGGTTGCTTGGGGTTGTCTGGTGTTTTTTTTGCGCATCACCTGCATCATTTGCCCATCTGCCACTGACCTTCAGGGCTTTGCCTGCTCTGGCATCACCCGCATCATCTGAAGCCGTCGCCTCGTAGCAATGCTGGAGGCCCAACCTGCAAGAGGGTTTTTGTGCGCCTGTTGGCCAAAACTCAAAAAAGTCGGAACACCCAACACAAGATGCAGCCCTTACCACCACCACCAACACCAAACAAAACCACTAACAAGAACAGCCACCGGAAGAAAGAAAGAAAAACAACAACGACGACAACCACGACCACAACAACGACCAAACCCACAACCACCACAACCACCACAACCACCACAACCACCACAACGACGACAACGACGCAACAACAACAACAACAACAACAACAACAACAACAACAACAACAACAACAACAACAACAACAACAACAACAACAACAACAACAACAACAACACAACAGCAGCAGCAGCAGCAGCAGCAG